TGGGTATATAAGCAATTGCTCTTCTTCTAGCTCTTAAAGAGTTGAGAAGAAGGCAAGCCTCGCGCCGTCGTCGTCGTCGCTCGCTCGGCTTCGGCTTCGGCTTCGGATTCGGATTCGGATTCGGATTCGGATTTGGTCAAATGATCGATTGATTGATTAACTTTTTGGACCAAATTTATTTGTTAATAGTAAAATATTAACAGAAATGTTATTAAATATTTGTTTTAATAACAAAATATTAATATTAAATATTAATATTAAATCCAATCCGTTTTTTCTGTTTTTGTAACAGAAAAGTAACTACCCTCTTCAATTTTCCCTCTTTATTTTCCCTCTTTATTATTGAGTAAATGGCCATTTATGTAATGGCATTTATGCTGTGGGCGTTTTGCATAAACAGCCATTCTGAAGAGTTGCACCTCTTCAGATTTCAGCCTAACTTTGTCTATAAATACAACACTATTCTGCTCAGAAGTTCACTACGATTTTCTGAGTTTCTTCTCCTTCTTCTGCATACTTTTAGCATCAAACAAAGCAAAAAGTAAGTGTGATTTGCTACCGAACTTTGTGTTCGCTGAAACACTGGGGTTTGAAGTACCACTACACCAGTGTGTAATTCGTTCTATCCTGGGAGGAAATAATCCATAACCTTGGGTACTAGGAGGGGATTAAATTCCTTAAGGAAACACTGTGAATTCAGTGGGCTCGAATTGGTTTTATGTCATTTCTGTTTATGTTCATTTCTGTTTATACTCATTTATATTTCCAGAATTATTTTACAAATACAGTCTACTAGCAGGTTGCACTTACAACTTTAGATTTAATAATCCGACTTTGCTAATTGAAAAACACGAACCAACCCGACCTATGTACACCCCTACTATGACCGAAGAATTGATAGAAAAGATTATGAACATTATATAATTTTCAAAATATATTGAAGTTGCAATTACATTTTTATATATATTTATAAATGTTTGTCTTTTATAAATAAAGATAAGAAGGGATTTCAAGATTTTTTTTTTAAAAAAAATTATTACGAATTAGAAAATTGTAAACAATAAAAGTTGATATTAGTAAATGTCATGGTTCGAAATCACGCAAAACTTGGCTTCTCTCACTCTCAAGATATGGCATATTATGTATGCTTTGGCTTTGTCTATTTCTCTAAGTAGCTTCCATGTCACATTCATCAATACGTAGAAATATATAGCTGTTTTCCTGTTTCCATTCTCACACTTAAAGCCATATATATCCTCTTGCTTTGATATTGAGAACAAACACACACACACACACACACCAGGTCAGCCATGTGAATGATTTTTGCATTCTCTTCTTCGGCGCCTCATAATATCATAAAAATTTACTCGTACTTGATTTTACGTCTAATTATATTAGTTTATCATAGTTAACGGCAAAGATTGAGATGAAAGTATAAAACCATGTGTCATGTATTTATTGAGTACTAATCTTTGACCAAAAAGATTTGGGCTTTTTGTTAAACTAATTAAATGAGAAGATTTTAGGTAAATTCTAGCCAAATATTATTTACCCACGATCTAAGATAGAAGACATGAGTAAGCAAATAAAGCAAGCATAAGATTTAACTATAACATTGATTAAATCCCATTATATAAGAAGATGATGGCGATTTTCATAATATTAAACAACAATGAAAAATACATAGATGAAAAAGGGGTCACCGATCTTTAACAAGTAGAAACCTATACCTTTGGTATGATGAGATTAACGACGATATATATTGAAGATCTGAGCTTCCTCGCTTCTTTCTCCTTCGTAGGGAGAACATGCCTGTGTGTGTGTTTGTCCCCCCCCCCCCCCCCCCCCCCTCTTTTCTTCTTCTTCTCAATGAGTTTATATACTAGGTCTTCTTCTTTACCCAATAGTCATTAACCATAGTACTTAAGTCGTTTGACTATATTACGGGTTGACCCTTGAAATGCCGTAATATCCAGTTCGCCACTCAAGCGTTCTGAATACATGACCTCGGCCGTGGCCGAGGTGTGTGTCGTTATAGTGATGTATGGATACGACTTTGGCCCAAACAACTCTTTGCCGTCCCCTTCCACGCAGATTCTTGTCTGGTCAGATTTCGGCGCATACAACTACAGACTTCAAGCATGAGTAAGTTTTTTCTGTCGTTGTTATATGACCAAAGAATATAAAGAAAACGAATATAATTGCAACTAATTCTATCTTTTGATATCATTAAGAGTATTGAAGTCACGTAAGTGGCATGGCCCCTTTATTACGCTCAACACAAAGTCATTACTCATTCCTATATCCCTTCTAATTAGACGTGTACTTAAGGTAGTATGAATTAAAGGGCTGTATTTATTTATTTAGTACTGTTTCATCTAGATATTTAAAGATTACTGCGCATAAAAAAGAAAGAAAAATATATTGCTATTAATTACTTTCTCCGTTAAGTTTTATTGGAAGTGTAACTTGCTTAAAAAAAGACCTTTACTAGTAAAACTTTTCTAAACGAAATACTTGCATTTTGTTAGTCTATTCGTTCAGACGAGAGAAGGAGAAAATTATATATTTAAGGCATGTTTCTTTCCCCTTAAACCTTTTTCCGTTTATGGGCAATTTCTGAATATAATTAATAATATATCCAGCGAGGGTAATTAAGTACGCCACCATTAAACATATTTAGAAAAAGATAGATAAGTGTACAAATTTGTTGGTTAATGAAGATTATAGAAACAAAGAAGAATGATTAACTCGGAGTATTTCTTAATATAGGAGTGAAGTTTATTCTACGACGAGACTTAACTCGAGAAGTTTATGAAAGATTATAGCTCAATCATCCAAATATCAACATGTCAATATAGAAGCCACGAATTTATACATTTGGACATGAGAACTATAAAAATTTAAAAAGGGTTCTAAAACAACTTGTTTGGTTAATATTTTGCGAAAAAAGTTGAGTGATGAAGCTAGCGTTTGGACATATATTTGATTGTAATTTGAAAAAAGTATTTTTTAAATTGTGTTGAAAAATAATTTTTGAAAATTGAAGTTGTGTTAGGACATGCATTTTATTTGAAGAAAAGTTGAAATGTTGTGAGTGGAAGAAAAATTTTCATCCAAAAACTGCCCTAAACCAGTTTTTGGGAACTTGAAAATTTTCGAAGTTTTTTTCCTCACAACATGATCATATTTCATAAACAAACAATATTTAAATTTTTTTTTTTGAAAAATAAAGCCAAAATCTATGGCCAAACTGGAACGAAGTGTCTTAAGACCCTTTTAAACCAAATAATTTTGTTTCACTTACAAAATATTTTAAAAAAAACCTTGAAAAAATCGGTGACCAATAAACACAAATTTTTTTTCTATAAATTCTTTTCTCCAAAATTCTTTTCGAAAAATATTTATGAAAACAACCTAAAGGGGTATTTCTATCAAGAATTTTTTATTTTTTTCAAAAAAAAGATATTCTTTTCCTAGTGAATTTATCTATCCAAAGCACTTTCCAAAGTCTCAAAATAAGAAGTTTTTAATTCAACGAAGCTATGCTAACATGCGCCGTCGCCGTGTAGCGCACGCGTGTAGAACGGTCAAATATCAGGCTGGGCAAAAGTCCAAAGGATAAAGCAATTCCCCCTTACGTCTGAAAAAGAGATAGAAAATGAAAACCCTACGTCGAAAATTTTCTTCTTGGGTTTATACCAAAAAACACCACCTTTGGCTTTTGGCATTTCTTCGTAATCCACGTACTAAAATACGCCTTTTTTATTTTGTCATTTTCTTTCTTAGCCCACCCGTCCTTTTCTTCTTTTCACATGAGAAAAAGAATATAGTTTATCCAACAAATTGTCAAGAAAATAAATATTGAATCTAACTCAATTTTAAAAGTTAGATCATATTGTTCTAATAATCCGAAAGTATATAAGAAGATTATTTAACATATCACTCAATCGATATGGGATTCTTATATCTCTCACATGCCTAAGGCAGAATATTTGAAATGTGGACGACATAACATAATATCTAATATTCGATAAATCCAGATTATAGATTAGCCTGACTCTTATAATATGTTAAAATAAACCTTACATTACAACAATAAGGATTATCTAAAACCAAACTATAACATAATACCATCAAACCAATTTATGATGCAAAAATAGTACGGGCTAGCCAATTTTCAAATTGGTAATTGAAAAATAGTCAATGATTGTAAAGTCATGAAAAATAGTCACTGTTTTGCTAAAATACAAAAAGTTCCAGTATAATATGCTGGGTTATGAAGCTCCTATGTATAAACTTCCAGCATATTATGTTGGAACTCCAGCACACAAAAAGTTTCAGCATGCTGGATTATGGAACCCTTGCGTATAAATTTCCAGCATATTATGTCAAGCTCCAGTACATTATGAAATTCTAACACTTGTATTGAAATCTCATTTGTAAAATATTCAAACTCCCGCATATTATGTTGCAATTTTTTGAATTTTTAAGGTTGTTATGCAAAAATGGCTAATATTGGTTTACTTTTTTAGCCACTTGCTATTTCTAAGTTTTTCCCATTAACAAAATCTGCATAATTTTATGCAATAAAGAATGACTATGAAATATTTGTAGATTGTCAAATGGCCCATAATTATCTCCCTTCCCTCCATTTCTTTATTTTTAAAAAAGAAAAAGGAAAAGGAAAAAGCATATACATTTATTACTCCTATGATCTCTTGATTCAACTACTACATTATATATTATTTTATTTTATATTTAAAAGAGTACTTAGTTTATTAAGTCCTCGTTTGCTTAGTATAGGTTCAGTTATTTATGTCTGCACACTGTAGTAGTATTGTGTGAAAGCAAGCAACCATTGTACGTTTTCCATTTCTTTATTCCTTTTATTAAATTCCTGACTTTCTTCCTCACAAGTATTAGTACGATTTCGTGTTAACTTAGCTTTCCCCCCCCCCGCCCCTCGTCCTTTCTTTT